TTAAAATTTTGAATAAACAAATAAAAATACTTTCATATATTATTTATTATAAATATTGTTCCATCCTATATAAATTATGCTTTTTTTGAATCAAATCTTCAACTTTAATAATTCGTCTCAAGTTATAGTGATTGAATTAAATTGATCAAGAGTTCGACTTTTACCAATAATTTGAAAATTTTCTCATTCCCTCGTAATTGCCTATTTTCATCAAAAAAAAATTTATGCTTTTTTAATTATTAATAAAAAAGCCCTAATTTCAGGACTCACTTCACTTTTCTCCATTATGTATTTCCCTCACATTATTATTACAAAAAGAACAATGAAATCTTTGCCAATAGCAAGTACAAAAACTGCCTGGCACAAAAGAAAAAAAAAAAGTAATTATAATAATGTGTAAAAAAAATAAAAGGAATGAAGTATCAAGTTAGTCCCTCAATTTCCCAGTTATTGCCGGAAATGCCCTTTGCAGAGCTCAAGTAGTGCGCCGCCGCTTTCCAAGCCGCCAAGCCCTACATTATTCTTTTTTTTTTTGAAAATATACATTATTCTTGACTGTTGAGTTTGACTTTTAGTTAGCCACGGGAAGTGGGGTCCGTGGACTGGGCAGGCCCATATATGCAAGCCTAGGGGAGAGGTGGATTTTTGGGCTGGGCCGTGGAGAAGGAATGGGGCCGTAATTAACAAACCCAGGAGCAACACGGGGTGATAGGTTGACCTGTTCCAGTGCTCTCGACTGCAGGTCCGTAGGGTAGTCCCGCACGCACCCAATACGTGGCCCGGCTCCAGTCGTCCATTTGCATGACAATCTATGAGCCAAATTAAAGACGGGTTCATTTGCACCCCTGATCTTTGCCTTCTCATCTTGATCACCCTTTGGTGTTGTAGTCTTCTTGATTATGTCTCCTACGTCCATTTCAACTAATTCCCTAGCTTCATCAAGACCGTCCATTGCCTTTGGCTTGGGCTCCTCCTCATCGGTAGTCTTGATGCAAGGATAATCATCATCAATTGCACACCTCTACATGGAGAAAAATATAACATGCTCCATCAGTTATATTTTAAACAACAGAAACACACGATAAAACATATACAACGGTTGTATTGTAGATTCTTTTATTCATTTTAAGACATTTGAATCCGAAATTTTTAGTTCAAACTCTTTTATTTATAGATCAAGACCTCATTTGGCAATTATAAGGATGAAATTTTACCTTAACATCACTGAGATCTACATTATTTTCCTTGAGGAAGTTGATGAATTCCATGAAATTCTCTTCGGTAGGGTGATAGTGACCACTGTATGGCCATATAGCCTGAAAGATTAATAGCATACACAAGTCATTAACAAATAATGCTTACCCTGATTTAGGATTTTGATTTAGTGACTATATATCAATTTAAAAGCCAAAATTCGAGCATGAGTTTCTAGGTAATCTATATGTGTTTAATGTGTGAATGGACGAAAGGGTTAATGCTGATGTACCTCTAGGACTCCATCGTGGGCAACCAATCTACCGGCTGCAGTGGTGGCACCACCAGCTAGAAAACTAGAGTGTTGAAACGTGCCTTTCTTCTTTTGCCCCACATACAAGATCCTAGTTGTGCTTAGAACAAATATCCATTTGGAACCCTCCACTGTCTCCACAGGCACACCATTTTGCCTGTAGATAAGCCTCCCATTCTCAACAATTACTTCATAGGCCTCCCTCTCTTTCTGCAATAAACCACAAATAATATGTCAAATTTCAGAATACAGCTATGTTACATAGACTCGAGATTAAATATAAGATGACACTGATTCCACAGGCAAGAGTGATGTCCATAGAGATTTAAAGTGTTGGACGCAGACTCATTAGGCTAAGTACAGCATCCATAGAACACAGCATCATTATTAATTTAAACTCGTACGATCAAGTGATTTAACACTTACAGGGCCAAGATATTTGATGCATTGGTGTTGTAAAACGTGCCTTGGACATTTCTCCAGATTTATTTCTTTGCCTTCTCCAACATCCAACCTTAACAAGGACCATAAAACCATGTCTTAACTCAAATATTCATTCTTTTTAGAACTATATGTACAAAATAAGAAAATAAAGGATCTAGAGGAAATAATTACCAGTAGAAGAAAGGTTGGGTACTCTGGCTTGCAAACCAAATGTCATAATACATGTGTAAGTTGTGCCCATAGCGGTGTCGTGGATCAATCTATGAAAATATCAAAAATAGGATTGATTAGATTGAATGCATTTAAGTTCATGAAATCATCATAATCCAAAATTTCAAAGCTGAATTCTTTGACTTTAAAGGGAAAAGATCCCTGAAATGGATTTCAATGATAGGACTTACAGCCTCAAGCCAATGTTGTAGGGCCAGTTGTCGAGCCTTCTCATCCTTTGACAAACCCTTTCCCACCTACACAAAATGGAAAAATCAGTTCCCATATAATATCCTCCCAAATGATATTATCAATTGACTTTTTATGAGTTAGACCCTTTTAGAAGTTCATCCCAAGAATTAATGCATACCTTAGCTGCTCTTGTTCTGGCCCTTGCCCACCTTGAAACTGCACTTTCTTGTTTTTCCACATCGAAGAATGACACAGAACTTCGCTTGAGAGCTGCAAAGTCTAATGCCTTCCACCTAAGAAAGATTCAACTCAACAAATTAAATCCATGTAAAGGAAAAGAAAACAACTTTTTGATTAAGCACATCTGAGGTATAGTAGGACTAATTACCATAGCTCCTCAACCACCACTGCACAATCTGCAAGGTTTCTTCGGGTCCGGTAGCTCTTGTATACCTTCTGAAGCTTGACTGCAGCAGCATCAAGCTCGCTAACAGGTCTCGGAGAGAACAAGATTGCTGGTTCTGGAAGAGAAAGCGCTGGAACCGGCTTATGTAACAACACTCCATTATCTTTCCCCTTTAATGTATTTGAACCAGCCTTGTCCAATTTTTCTTGAACCAGATTCTTGAATGAAAGAGCTTTCTCAAGCATTGCCAAATCAGGTTTGCAGTTATTCAAGCTTCTTGAGTCTCTCCCATCAGACCCAATTGAGTTGGTCATTTTTCCTGAATCTGTTCTCTTGAAGCTGTTCACTCTCAAGGTCACCTCTCCAACTTTTGAATCGAAAACTCCAATTTTGTAAGCCAAACTATAAAACCTGTTTAAGATTTGTTGTTCCCCAGGAGTAAAGAGTGTTGAAACCGACAATCCCATAGGCCTTATACAGAAAACAAACTTCAATCTCTGATTCTCTGGGCAACATACCAAAAACCAAATTACAAAAATAATACATACAGAGAGCATGAATGAACCCCATTGAAACAAAAACTCAACTAGATAAACTTCTAAAATCATGCTATAAATTCAATAAATTTAACATGGAATTTTAGTGGTTTTAACTTTAGGGAAAATGAAATAAAGTAAAAGAGCTAAAGCAACCCAATTATTGAACAGAAGAATTTTAATAAACAACTCAAGAGATCAACCCAAGAAATCATTTCAGAATCATAACAACCTAGTATTCTCTTTCCCACCCATTTCTCTCTAAACCCAGTAACATCCTTCGAACAAGAACAAAAACCAAACAGGGAAAGAAAGAAAGAAAGAAAGAAAATCTCCTTACCTGTGAACTGTAGTTCAGAATAGATGTTAGAACTTGTTCAATGTTCTTGTCTGATATATCCTTGTACAATAATGGTGTCTGAAGCTCTTGACTGCTCCCTCCTTTTATATACAACCCGAAGGAAAGAGGAGTCCTACACGCCCTTCAAATACGGAGGAGAAGAAGGCCACATCAGTCCTATGAAGTCCGTCCGTACCCAAACTGACAGACAGCGTTTTGAATGGAAAAAGGAGGCGTGGGTCAAATTCGAAGGTTGCCCCCCTCGTTAGTTTGATGAATTCAAAGCTCAAAGTTTTGGAAAATGGCATTCTATCATCTACCAAAAAGGTCGTCCTCTTTGTTTCTGCGAAATGCACCCATGGGACCCTTAAGACAAGTTGAGACTAGAAGTTCGGCTTCTTTTTGGTATATAATGCTATAACTGTAATGTTAAGTTTTTTTGTTTTATTTTGTTGGAACAAGTAATGTTAAGTTTTTTTGTTTTATTTTGTTGGAACAAGTCTATTGATTGAAACTTTCGTTAAGACGAGAGATTAAAATGAGAAGGAGAGAGAGAGAGGTCGAGGAGAGAAAAAAGAGTTTAGACTTTGTCTATTCACGTGAGAAAAGAATTTTTATGTTAATAGTATGATCAATTACTTTATATATTTTTAAAATTTTTTTAATCTCTTAAAATTAAGTAAATATGTTAACGACTTAAATAGTTAACGGTGATTTTCTTCCATTAAAAATAAAAAATTTTGAATTTGATTCGTTTAACATGTATGTGAGGTAGAATAAGAGATGAAAGATAATTATTTTCTATTATACAATCAAAATAAAAAATAAATAAATATACTTAAGTTATTTAATATTTACTTAAATTAATATTTTATATATTTTTATGATAATAAAACAATAAATCAATCAAAAGATAAAATATTAAAAAGTATTTCCAAATGAACCGTGGTTAGCAGATGAATTAATCCAATAAATAAGAATAAAATTTTAAACAAAATTATTATTAATGGTTAGATTTTTTCTATCAATAATCTGCTGCATTTGAGCTATTAATATAAACCATACTAAAACCTAGACTCCGTTAGATTTTGAAGAACATTTTTGATTTTTTATAAGTTATTTTTTGCTTTTAAAAAAAATTAAAAATTGAAGCTCAAAAATCTTATGATTTGTTTGTTTGAGAAAAATTTTCTTATTTAGGGTCCATTTGATGCAACTTTCCAATTGCTTCAGCTTTTTGATACTATTCATGTTTCATAAGTTTAAATTTTCTTCCTAAAAACTTATATTTTTAAATTTTTTTTAACCTTAAAAAGATCATAAACAGTAAAATATCAAAAAGTTCAAATTCAAACTTTAAATTCAAATTTTTCATAAATTTTCTTTTTACTCACTTTTTTCTATCTCTAAAAGCACCTTAAAAATTTTTCTTTTAATAAAAATTTAAACTTATTATTCATAAACAATACAAAAAAGTAAAAACTCCAATAAACTGTACCAAACAAACCCTTAGTATGTTTCGATTAAGGGAAGGAGGGAGAAAAAAAAAATTTCTATTTAGTTATAAAAAAATGGGAGGGAATGGGAGTGCAAAGATTTTTTTTTTAATTTTTAAATTTAATTATTTATCTAAATGAAAGGAATGAAGGGAAAGATAAAATGCTCTTTTATTCCCTTCCAATTCTTTTTCTTTAACCCTATATTTGGGTTGAAGAAAATGGATGAGAGGATTTCACAAAAAAAAAAAAAAAGAGAGGAGAATTTTTTTTCCCTTCATTTTCCTCTATTCTTCTTGCCTACTTTTCATTTTTCCCAATCCAAATATAAATTAAAAAAAGAATTAAAAAGCAATAATTGTTTTAATTTCTTCCTTAATTTCCTTTATATATTTTAATGTACCTAAATAAGGAGATGGGAGGAGAGAAAAATGGAACCATCCCTCCTCCTAGCCTAACAAGCTTTGTTTTTAAAATCTTTATTTGATAATTTTATCAATTTTTAAATAATTTTAAGATTATTTTGTATGAATCATGATTCACCCATCTACAAATACACACAAAACAAAAAAATCTATTAAAACAGAGAACATTTACAAAATCTAAAATAGTAATAAAAAAAAAGAAGGGGGAAAAAAACAAAAAAGAGGAAGATGGTTGGTCAAAGAAAGTAACTTAAACGGTTTCCATGAAAGGCAAAAGAAAAAAAAAAAAAAAAAAAACTATAGCTCATATTTTTCCTTTTTCTTGTGTCCCATATTAGTCAACGGCTCCTCGCTTGCGTCGTGGGCAGTCATACAGTCATACAGACAGGCTCCCGCGTCCGAAAGAATTGTCGCTGCACTTCTGTTTACTCTGCTGCCTTTTTCTGCATTTGTTTTGCCGTTCACACCATTTTTTTTCTTTTTTGAACAAATTTGGAAGGGTCGGATTTGAATAGTATTCAGGAGAGTAAGATATACTTTAAACGTGATTTGACGTTACTGAATTTAAAGGCCACGTGCCCTTCACAGTTCACACCATTTTTTTATTGACTCTTTTTTCTCGAAATTACATCTTAACCCTTTCTAATATTAGGTCCCTAACCAGAGTAAGGTTTGGGTAATGTATGTAATGTATTTTTTACACAATAATTTGTACAATATTACTTGATAATTTATGATTGATTTTTTATTCGAAGCTATGAATGAATTGATATGTATACTTATTTGATAAAATAATATGTTGTAAAAAATAATATTATAAAAAGAATTTTTTTAATTTTTACCATAATGGAAAGCACATTTTTGTCATAAATGTATGTAAAAAAATGTAAAAATTGACATCAATTGTAATATAAGCGCTAAAGGGATGAATTTAATTAAACATTTGATAAATTAAATGTTAATTTTATTTTTTTAATATAAATTTATAATAAAAAATATATTTATTACACCATTTAAAATAACCATTATAAAAAATAGAGGCGGCAATAGTACTCTACAGTAGTTGGCATGCGCATAGGATGCATCCAAATGCACATCTTATTTGACATCTATGAGCTTTGCTATCCTTTATTCTTTTTGTCTTAATCATCAAGTCTTAGTTTTAAGTACGTTTAGATCAGTTCAATCAACTTTACATAAATCAAGTTTATAATTCTCATCAAGGAAATTCTTGAGCAAAGATCCTAAGTGCTATTATTAGGATAAGCTCAATTAAGTTTTTTTGGAAAACTTCCTTTCTGTCTGACTTAATGTAGTTTCAATTCCAGGTAAATAAATACCTAAACTTATTGTAAATTAATAAAATCATGTCGTGTGTAACTTCACATATTCTATTATATCATTTCTTCTCTGACATTATTGTAGAAAGACGTTGAAATATAATCAATCTCATAAATTTACATTAAAAAAGTTGCATAGTGTGGCAAGATAATCTAAGGTTCGTCAAAAATGAAGACTAACTACAGAAGTTCTTTGTTTTTTTGTTGGCTTTTGAACTGCCAAACTTAACTTCCTTTAAGGGGATGGTAGACCTTTGAACCAAAGAAAGAAAGGATATGTTTTCTTTCATCAACGTTTGCAATTTCTGAGCAAATTTGTATTGTTTTTGACGACCATTCTTCCATCACCAACCTCCAACCAAAAAGGGTTGAAGGATTGGTGAGTTTGTGTTGGTGGGGGTACTTTTGTAAAATCAACTATTTCCTCTGCTTTATCTTTTGAATAATTAATTCACCATTTCCCGGAAAAGTAACTTCCATTTTGTTCCACATGCCCCCCCTTAATTAGCTGTCAAGGTATTTGACCTGTCGGCAGTGCAGGCGTGTATGCCACATGTATCTTGTTTTTGCATTGCATGAGCACGTCAACATTTCGGAAATTGGAATAATTCAACGTAGGAATTTTATCATTAGAATAGTCATTAGAATCCTCTTTTTTTAGTTAAAATTACATTTTTAGGCAGAAAAATTATTAAAGCATATATAAAAAAGAATTTTATCAAGGATACTTAATTAATTCAGAACTCAAAATGTATTTTTTTCATAATTTGAATTGAAAAATACGTTTTTATATTACCATTATAATTAATCTTATTTTACTTATTTTGGTGATGATTGGATTCCAACGAGTTAGGTAAGAATAAGAATATATATTTTTTACTCTTATAAACAAATAAAAAAATTGAAAAAAAATATTTTTAATGAAAAATCAAAATATTTTGGCAGTTGTAAAATATAAGGATTGATAATAAAAAAAAATTAAAATATTTTTAATGAGTTATCACATAAACGAGATTTTTGAAGGGTAGTTATTAAAAATATTTAAATAATTTTACAAAAAAAATCTTTATATTTAAAATGCAAAAATAGCTTGATTTTTATTTTTTTTTTAAATTAATATACTAATTATTTTAGTAAAAAAATTTTGTGCATCTCAAACAATACAAAACTAACCATCATATAAGGACACATCCTTTGATATAAGTGCGAGCCTTCATCCATCAAATGGTCTTGTTAAGCTGTCATATATCTAGCCATCATACTAAAAAAAAAAAAAAAAAACTTAAATACAAGCCTTTTTTTTATTTTTTGGGTACAGAATACAAGGCTATTTAGTTTGTGAGATATGGAGAAGAAGAGAAAAAAGAGTATTTTATTAAATCAAATTAGCACGTTGACCCAACAATTTAATTTTATTAGTCAAAATAATCTCTCCTATTCTTTACTCACATAAAACCCTTTTTTATTTTTCTTTGGTCTCAAAAATACACTCATCTCAAACCAAATAGGCCTAAATGTTGAAAAGATTTGTTGTCATGGATTGCAAGACGTCACTAAATAAACCTACCAATTGGTCCTACAAATTCAATTGCTTTTATCATAATAAATATGTAGGCTTTATGTGATAACGTTTATTAGTGTTTTAGTTTTAAGTTTTATATTTTTTTATTACTCTAAAAATATATAAAATATATTTAAATATATTTTATATTTATTTTAAAATATTAAAAAACTAAAAAAATAACAATTACAACCATAGACTAACACTCTCGAATTGTACCATAAAATTTTGAATTAATTATGAGATTATATGGGCTGAAATTTTTTATATTTTTCAAAAAGATTAATTTAACCTGTGCATAATGCCGAGTGGCAGCCCTTAGGAGGATTAGACCTTATTTGGGCATCTCAGAGACAATAACTAAATTGTTTTTTTTATAACTCAACAACCTCCTTGTTTAAGGCCATTAATTGTGATAAGTGAATACTTGTGTAAATAAATAAATAATCATCAAATTGTCAATTACGTACGTGTGCGTACCTAACCTAACCTAACCGGTGATACCTTTTAAAAGAAACCCTTAATTAACCAGCCTTCCACCTTCCGGATGTGAAAGAGAGAGAGAGAGAGGACGTTTCCCTGTCCCACAGTCCACCACACCCCATGGATGAAATATTCACAGTGCCCCCTGCGGCAAGTGATAGAAATAGAATTAGTTGCATGTGTTTTAGAGCCACATTTAAACCTTTGACCGTGTCCTTGTTCTCCACTCTAATAAAAGTTAATGATTGCAATAATTTGATGGGAAAAGAACAAATTAAAATGTTTAATTATAGTTATTATAAATGATTGGTTTTGTTTGTATGTAAAATATTAATTAAAATTAATAAAAATAATTAAAAATAATAATTTTATATTTTGAAATAAAATATTATTTAAAAAATTTACAAAAGAATGTGATAAAATAAACTATAATGTAAATTCGTATTATATTATATCTATTTTGTATTTATTGTTAAACATCATTTTGAATGGAGAAATAGGTGTTGGGAGAGTTTCCCCCTAATGGGGTCCGACACGGCTCGATTCCAGATTAGTCGGGACCCAAAGTGGTTACCGAACACTGAAAAGTTAATATCAAAAAAAATCTTGTATTTATTGTTAAACATCATTTTAAGTGTTTTTTTTTTCTAATTTGTTTTGTACGGAAAGAATTAAAGTGATATCCTATGATAATATTTTTGTTGATCAACCATTGGTATCCTAAATAACAAAATACAAATCAACACGCTTGGGCATGGCTTCGAAGAAAATTAAAAGGTCAAGAATTAGCAAGTTCCCCGAAGAACTCACCCCATTTTAGATTCCAAAACAAACTTTGAATTGCTTATCAAAAAAGTATGGAACTTTGAATTCCACCATTTTTCTCGATTCTCCAACAAAATTTCCTACCCATAATCTTTGAATTCTGCCCCTTGCCATTCCTTCCATGATCCAAGTAGCATAATGTAATGTAGGCCAAAAAAGAAACAAAATGTAGCATAATGTAACAACCTTTTTTTTTTTTTTTTGAATATCTTTTATCTTCAAATTTGAACATAAGCTCTCTGCTCGTCGAATTATTGAGGTTGTATCGGAAGGAATAATTCGGATTATCAATTAATGTTAATTAATT